TAGCTCCCCGAAGGGCAGGCGGCAGTGCTGCCTCTCTCGAATAGACGAAGAAATAGGTGGGAGGATGATATTGCGTGTCCAGTGGCTGGAGCTGCAGTGCTGTAGCCTGGGTGAGTGGACTCCAATCGGAAAGTTGTCGATAATTTTGGCCGGCATGGAAAAACGATGCCAGAGTCCTCACATCCTCACCAACCTCTGGTACTCTTGTGAGGGTATGCAGGAGGAGGCAGTCATGGTGAACTGACGACATCATGTCCTTGAACGTTGAGTTGTTTGATATCAAGACACTCGCAGCAACAAAGTGTAGAGGGATATCTCTAATGCTGGATCGTCCATAGATGTCGTTCATCAAATGTCTCTCTGACAGAGACAATGGGACAAGGGCATGCGTCTCGATATTTGGTGGCCCGTTCAGAGGTATTGTGAGGATGTGAACCGTGACAGGAACTTAGAAAGGCGGATTAACATGCAGCTTTCCACTGGTGTATGGGAACGCAAGATACTTACAAGTTAAATGTGTACGATCCGGCGCCTCCAACCTGGAAGCAGGCTCGAGATGGCTCATTGTATGTGCCCGAGAGCTCACATCCGATGTGGTGGAGAATGAGGAGTCCAAGATGGGGTCCCAGGACACCGGCGCATATGGACTTGTCACGGGGGAAACCAAAGAGTTGGGGAGAACATTGGCACAAGCATCCGGGAAAGCTGGAGGATGTGCATTGCTCGCAACAGAGCCCGGTGAGTTTTGAGCATAGACGCTCGTGTGAGGTTTCCAGAAGGTGGCTGTGTATGGAGCAATCGCAGCGGGAACAGGATGGTCGGGGACGCGATGGTCAAGAATGGGATGGTCAGGGAGGTGATGATCGGCATGAGCATTCGGGGGGGCTTGAGGATACGTATTGTCCGTGATGAAACCTGGTAGGCTTTGAATGTAGACGGGGGTGTGTGTATGAGGACTTGGGAGTGTCGCTGCCGATATCAAATGGTCTGAGGGGAGACCCTGAACGATGGCGTGAGCATCTGGGGGGGCCAGGGCATGTGTTTCCCTCGCAATGGGTCCAAGTGAGCTCTGAGCGCCCAAATCTTCACAAGGTTCCGAGTTCAAGGTTGTTGGACGATTTACGTGATGTATCGGGGACCACGAAGACAAGAGGTCACTGGAAAAGATGGGATCTTGACCTGATTCTTCTACAATCTGATTTAGCACGGTATCGGTGCCCGCTTGAGGGTCACTGAGAGCACCAAGAAGCTCTTGCAAATGCTGAACCCATGGGCCATCTATGGGTAAGGGCGGTGTGACGGGGTTCTGCCACTGCGTACCGGAATCGAACCAAGGACCCTGAAGTGGCGTGTCTTCCATTTCTGTCCTCTCTGTAGAAGAGAGAGATATTAGAGGGAGAGAAGGAAGGAAGAGGGAGCAGAAACAAAGAGTAAGGATGGGAATCAAAAAGAGAAGGCGAAATTAGAGAGAGAAGGAATGTACGAAGGAAGGGGGGTGAGAGTAAGGGGGAAAAAAGATGGGTCCCGGGTCCCAGTCTTAGTTTTCTGTTATCGAGACTCGCCTAATTGATAGCATAGAATAGGCGTGTCTGAACATGTAAGTGTTGCGGTTTATACGACGCAGTGATCCGGGGATACTACCAGAACTGGAATTCTGGTAGAGATTGCCTGCCTCGGCTAGTTATGTGGAACGTGCACTCAGTAAGAGTTCTACAACTGCTGAAACATAAGTGATGCAGTGTCACTTATACCTTTGCCTTCTGATCTGTAAGAGAATAGACGGGAATACAAGAAAGATGAATATTGGAGAAGATATTGTTGATACTTTGGATAAAACAACTCGACGCAATGTGCGCCTACAACAATACGTAACCTACAAGAAATTGCCGAGAGGCTTGTTTTCCGTGGAGCAACTAATTTTAGACGATTCTACGGAAGTTGCCGAAAAGTCATGGGAAACCCTCAGTCCATTAATTCATCGATTGGAATTAGAGCACTTTTTGTTCAACTACCATGGCTACCAATGTCAGTTTACTCGAGGCCTTCAGAATTCACTACACTCAATTCAACGAGTCTGTACATGCTGCGCAAAATCTCGATGCCACAGATGTCTTCCTCCTCGAACTGCTGGGTGAAAATCTGGAATCATTCCGGGAGATCGTGGAACAAGTCAGGACTAAATCTAATAGCATCTCAAACTTTGAGCTAATTTTATTTACCAGAACCCCGATGCATTTCCTGATCGTGCGGAATGGGAACAACTGAGGTCGAATATTGGAGTGATGGTGATCGATCTCAGAACAATTCATCACAAGGCATTAGAGGCGAGTCACCAAGGGCGACCTTCAGTAGTTCGTTATGTCTCGGACGGTGGACCAGGAAGACCCCGTGCAATTATTGATCCTCATTTTCTTGCATGGGCTTACACTCAACGGACCACAAGTGGGATCGCGGCCTTTTTGGGGTTGGGGAGAACCACCGTCCGACAAGCCCTCCTAGATTATGGAATTGTTACACCGGGTGGTGATCCATTTCCTGGTGGCACAGAAACCGACTCTAGTGACTCCGAACATGAGTCCGATGTTGGGGATCCTGAAATTCCAGTCTCCGAAACCATCCCATCCACTAGCCGCGGACCATCAAGTGCGATCTCTGAATACCTCTCGGTCATGGACAATGACGCCCTTGATGTAGCCCTACTGGATTTGAAGTCGAGATATCCCAGGGCTGGTATCAAAAGTCTACAGGGGATGCTTAGGGTGAAAGGACACATTGTCCAGAACGATCGTATTCGCCAATCACTCATCCGCATTGACCCTGTTCATCGCGTGTTCGAACGTGTCACAGTCAAGCGTCGCAAATATAAGGTCCCGGGGCCGAACTTCCTTTGGCATCACGACGGACATCACGGTAAGTACCACCCATTTGACTGGCCATGAATCCTGCTGTAGCTTACAATACAACACTACAGCCCTTATCCGCTGGGGAATTATTGTTCATGGCTTCATCGATGGACACTCCAGGTTGATCACAGCCCTGCGCGCAGCCAACAACAACTATGCTTCCACCGTGCTGCTGTTGTTCATAATGGCATGCATGATTTATGGTGTTCCTTCACGGCTCAGAGGAGATCATGGTACTGAGAACATATGGGTCGCAGCGTTTATGGAATTCGCAAAGGGCTCAGGCCGAGGATCATACCTATGGGGAAGGTGTGTTCGCAACATCAGCCAGATAGTGGTTTTACTTGCTGACAGAGCTGTAGATCTGTTCACAATGTTCGCATTGAACGCCTTTGGGGAGACGTACGAGTGAACATCACCTCTGTTTGGGATGAAAGGTTCACAGATCTGGAAATGAACGCGGCGCTGAATGTGTACAACCGCAACCACATATGGCTATTGCACCTTCTCTTCCTTCCCATCATCAACGAAGAGATGGAGTTCTGGTACAAGGCGTGGAATCAGCACAAGATAGCTGTGAAAGGCGGAGTCAGTCGGAGTCCGGAGGACATGTTCGGGTTTGATATGCTAGTTCATGGGTACAGAGGCGATAACTTGGCGAGTTTCCCTATGACAGAGGAGGACCTGGAGCTTTTCGGGGTCGACTGGGAGGGGCTGCACGATGACACCCTCTTGAGGGCGCTTCGACAGAGCTACTCTAAAGATGGTGCTACATCTTGGATAGGGAATCAAGGACCGCCTCCCAATCTCAATGACGTTCCAGTAGACCCCCCGCCCTGTCTAATTTCCGAAGAAAATATCGCTGCTCTATTGCGACACGTGGAACCATTGCCGAAGACTTCCCGAAAGGAGGATGTTCGCGGTCTGTGGGTAAACGGACTGGCATATGCCAGATATCTTTCCCCTGAAAATTTCTAACCTTAATCACGCTCGACTTCTGTACGTTTAGTTACATAGCCATGTAGTCACTAGAGATTTCAAAGGTCAATGCTCATGCCCTCATCCAGCACATGCGCTTCGCACCTCTTATGATTTGTAAAAAAAAAGTTATTGACTCAACTGCCGATAGACATTCACCGCATGCGCAAAGTAGAGTCTCCGTACACGCGAAGTAGAGCCTCCGCATGCACAAAATGAAGTTTCCGAACACGCAAAATAAAGTTTCCGTACGTGCGAAACAAACTTTCGTACGCTGTAAGTAAAGTCTCCGGATATTCAACTCAATGTTGCCGGACATGCGAGGCGTGCCAACCAAAGAGTTGACTAGTATTGCTTTGGGGAATTAACCGGTGAGCTAAAGGCCCTTTCACCAACCCAGATGCCCAATACTAGTTCTGATTGAGGTCTAATCCATTCTACTTCCGCCTTGATCGTCAATGTTTTTACCACGCAGTTCAGGGCGTCAAAGTCTGAGTCCAAACGTTTTGATTAATAGGCTGAAACCTGGACAAAATTGAGTGACTAGCCGGACATAGCGAGCCCCAACATCAGATAACCGAAGGTTTGGAGAGGCCCGAGCCCTTATGTCTGAGAAAAACGCAATGACGTAGACTCTGTGTCAGACGATTTCCTTGAGACCATACAATAGCCGACGAAAAATGCGCTCATAGATTTGAATTGTCCAGTACATTCAGTTGTATCACTTGGTGTTTCACCGCGTAGGTTCAAATCCTGCTCCCAGCGATACCGGGAGTTGATAAACTCTTTTTTTGTTTCTCCCTGTCGGCAGAATGAGACCGACGGTGGCAATCTTTCAAAGTACCTTCCCGCCAAATCCGGGCGTATCCTTGAGGTTTCTAGCCCTACCGCGAGTACGAGTTTGGGGATTGTTTTTTTTTTCTTTATCCCCTCCTGTTGTGTTTCTGTTCCAATCGGCTTTAAGAACAGAAGGAGACTGAATACGACGGTACCATTCTTCATCCTTTCGAAATCCTACTAATGCTTGATGTTAGGGACCGTGGCTTCAATGACGAGTGTGAGTGGTCGGAGGATGAGAGAACGTTGATATGGATCCCACATCTTCACCAGAAGATATCTTGCCCCATGGCTGAGTTGGTTACAGCGTCCGACTGTTATTCATGTCATATAGGTTGTTCATATAGCTATCGGAAGGTCGTGAGTTCGAGCCTCACTGGGGCAGTATCATTATCGCTTCATGCGTTATTTTTTTGTGTGTGAGTGAGGTTTTGTTAGACTGAAGCTGAGATCTTCGAATAAACGGTGATCGGTTTCCTTGTCGCCCCACGCCATTCGCTATCGCGTCACTCCAAAGTTCCGGAGGCGGATCTTGAGCGAAAGATGCGTTATGTCTGGTACGCTCCACTTTCTTGCTAGCAAGGATTCAGGAATTTGTTCCAAACTTGGTTCGGGTTGCGGCATGTCGTTTAGATTTCAATCTATCGCAACATCGTTTCTTGTTTCTTTCTTTTCTTTTTCCCCCCCCTCCGTTCTGTCGCTGCGGCTTGATATTCAATTTTTGTGTAGGGCAAAGCTCTCTACTGTTTTGCGTTGTTCTTCTTGATGAGCCAGCATAGTTAAAGTGCACAGTGGGTATAACGAAGTAAACCTCACATGGGTAATACACAGAGTGTTCTTGTAGTCTTTGAGATGCTTGAGAAGAGGTGATAATCGAGTAGATTGTCCTAAGGCTTAAGGCCTTTCATCCAGTCTTTTATACATAAGTTTCTGGTACATGTAATAAGTATTACACTAACTGAAACTACTACTAGAAGTAGGTATTCGGCCCTAAAGGCGTAAAAGACATTAGTACTGTGTAAGTACTTCTACCATGAATGGTAGTATGCTTGGTGAGCATAGTCATGTTTGCCTCATGTATTGGAGGCTCTACTTATGCTATTGGATAGCGACTGTCTATAGTGTCATTTATGATGAAACTACTAGGTACGTAGTGAGATACGTAGACAGAGACGTAGTACTTGCATGAGGACGCAAGTGTTCTAGAGGCGTAGCTCTATAAATAGTGTGACGCGTAAACAACACGTCAACAGTGTATCACATGATATTCATCATGTTCAACACTCCCCCTCACTAAGTTCATCATGCAATCATGGAACTAGTGAAATGTTAATCCTAAAGATTGCCTGAACAATTCGAACTTTGTTCTGCCAAGATTCTTCGTAAGAAGATCAGCAGGTTGTTTAGCAGTTTCAACGAAATAGATTCGAGTCTTTCCGTGTTCCACTGCTTCCCTGATGAAGTGGTATCGATTGTCAATGTGTTTTGTTCTTTTATCAGTAGCTTCATTGCTGCTGAGAAAGATAGCGCCTTGGTTGTCGCTAACACATGGAACTGATCGAATAGGGAAGTTCAATTCGTTCAATAATGACTTCATCCAGCAAGCCTGACGTGTACAGTCAGATAGAGCCATATACTCTGCTTCTGTAGATGATAATGCAACCGTTTTCTGTTTCTGAGAGACCCAGCAAACTGGTGCATTGGCAAGCTTTACGATATATCCAGTCTGTGATCGACGATCATCTTTATCAGTTGCCCAATCAGAGTCAGCAAAGGCAAGTAGTCCTTGGTTGGATCTACCATCGTAAACAAGTTCGTACTTTGCAGTGTGAACAAGGTATTTTACGATGTAAAGTGCCTTCTGGAGGTGTTCCTGATTAGGATTGGCTCCATACTGTGACATCTTGATTACAGCAAAGGATATGTCTGGTCTCGTTCCGAGAGCCAAGTAAAGTAATGATCCGATAACTGATTGGAATCTATGCCTCATCTCGGGATTAACCTCCCCCTGGTTTTGGGTTGGGTTATAGCCTTCTGGCAAAGGCGTATATGCCGTCTTGGCGTTCAGAACTCCGAATTTACGAATTATCTTTTCAAGATAGTCTTGCTGATCAAGGATCAGTCTGCGATTCTTCCGATCTCGAGTAATTCGCATTCGCAGAAATTCTGTTGGCTCGCCTAGATCTCGGCATTCCCAGATTTTCATGAACTCGCTTTTTAGTCTGTTGACAAGGTTGCGATCAGGACCCATAAATAAAGCATCGTCGACATAGACGACGGCAATGACCATATTGCCATTCTTGTTGAAGACATATACGCCAGCATCGGATAAGCATCGTTTGAATCCCAGACGTTTCATGGATTCAGTACATTGACGCCACCAGGCACGAGAAGCCTGTTTTAATCCGTACAATGCTTTGCGTAACCTCCAAACCTTGCTGGAGTCCGTAACGAAGCCTTCAGGTTGTTCCATGTAGATCTCCTCATCTAAGGCACCATAAAGAAATGCTGTTTTAACGTCTAGCGCAGAGATCTCCCAATCTTCAAGCGCTGCTAGTGCCAATAGAAGTCGTACGGTTTCGAATCGTACTACAGGAGAGAACAACTCGTTATAGTCTATCCCTTGTTTCTGCGAAAATCCTTTCGCAACAAGTCTTGCCTTTTTACGGCCATCAGACTTGATGTCAAATACCCAGCGGGATTTCACCGCTTTTCGGCCTTTAGGTAGTGTGACCACATCAAAGACGTTTCTATCCTTGAGTGATTGTAATTCCAGTCTGCATGCTGCTTCCCAAGATGGTCGTTCATCTTTAGGACGCTTCTGGACTTGTTTGTATGTCCATTCACGAACGTTATCATAACTACTGGCTTGAAGACCATATAGTTGATGACCGTTATTCAGCAAGTAAACCAAGTAATTTTCTCCCCCTTGCTGAGCAAGATCGCTCATATCGTCATCTGTGTCCATAGGAGCGGCTGGATCAGGAACCCTATTTGGTATTGTTTCAGGTTCATTTGTCGGATTAATTTGACTTTGCCAGCGTGCCTGAGAATCGATATCGCGTTCGATCTCAACAGGATGTCGATTTCCATAAACATTAAACGGACGGTTGGGAGTTACTCTATTTCTTGGAGGGTTTCTTCTGATAGCTGCTGGTGGAGGAGCTCGTAAATTCTCCCACTCATCATAGTCAGCTTGACGAAATCCAAATGGATTTGTCGATCCAGAAGAACCAGCAGACCGTGGATCCGGACCATACTGATTAGGATTGTGATCGGAGCCTTTCGGTGATCCGAATCCATCAGTACTTGGATGATTGCCGTTGTGCACATCATCGCTTTTATCATCCGGGATAGGATCCAAGGGAGGATCTCCCCCAGGCTGATGATCGTCATCATCTGATCCTGGTGGAGGTGGAGGATTGATAAAATCATCATCATTGTGATGATCTTCGTGGCCATCATATGGGTACGTTGGAAAGGGTATAGACCGGACAGGTTTGTCGGTTTTATCAAACTCTATGGATCCGGGCACTTCTTTCTGACATTTAGGAAACCAGTTCTCATCGAAAACTGCTTGTGGAGTAATGTATACAGAATTGTTGGTTGTTCGAAAGAATCGATAAGCTTTTGATCCGTTCTCGTAACCAATGAAGATCATTGCTTCGGAGTGTGGAGCAAGCTTATTTTTACGTTTCGGTATGTATGCATATGCGCCACAACCGAACGTCCTGAAGTATGATACATCAGGCTTCTTATTTTCAAACAATTCAACTGGAGTTCTGTATTTCCTCGAACGAATCGGAGTTCTATTGTAGATATGGACGGCTGTGAGAATTGCAAATTCCCACCAGTTTTCAGGCGCACAAGCCTGAAAGCGCATAGCTTCAGATTTCTCTCGTAGTGTACGATTAAATCTTTCCGCTCGTCCATTCTGTTCATGCACGTTGGGAGAACCTCTTTGTGGAAATATTCCTAGAGAGTTATACCAGTCCCATTGTTCATTTGAAAAGAATTCTCCCCCTCGATCAAAATGCACATTTTTGACCTTTTTATTAGTCTGGCGCTCTACAAGAGCTAGCCAATTGCGCAATTTCTGATCTGTATCACTCTTTTTACGAATTGGATATACCCATCCGTATGATGTTGCATCATCGAATAAGGTTAATGCATATTCGTTTTGATAGTAAGAGCGAGTTGGATATTCTATCAAATCACCGTGCACGAGCTCAAGAGGCTCCTTAGCTCGTTTCGAGGATAAAGGGTACGATTTGGCAACCATTTTGCCTTTGGCACAGCCTCGGCATGGTTTCGTTTCTTCCTTCGAAGTAACCAACTTCGTTGGAAGCCCTTTAACATTATCCATTAATTTTCCTAAGACTCTGGGATCACAGTGTCCCATACGTCTATGCCATAATTCAGAAGTATTGAAAGATACAACAGATGTGAAGGAAGTTTCTCCCACAAGAACCTTCGCGTTCATCCATCGTAAAGGATCATCTTTATGGCTTGGGTAAAAGCTCATTAAAAGAGAATCATCTTTCTTGCTCCGGATCGAAGTCTCTGGAGAGTCCAGTATAGTATAGTAACCTATACTCCGGAACTTCCCACTAGAGATTAAACGATGTGGGCTGTCGGGATTATACATCACTGGGTATAACTTTGTGACTTGCGTCACTCCTGCGCTATTGGTGTGTCGGATGAGGACAGTACCATAGCCTACTATTTGCACATTTGCTTTATCACCCGCTGATGTAGTAAGACCTATTGGCATTTCCAAAGTCTGATAGTCTGAGAAATCCGTTTTATACGGAGTCATATGCGCTGATGCCCCACTATCAAGTAGCCAGGCATTTCGCGTATTTCTCACTTCACAATCACTCGAAAATGCAGCAGAAAACGACTTATATTTCGTCGTTGCATATACAGAAGTAATACTACATTTCCTTGGTACTGTGTTCCTTAGGATATGATAGTTCTGCATCGAGGATTTAGTGAAAGTTTGACTATTAGAACTTTGAAAAACTTGCCAGTCTCCACGATCGTTGCTTTCAGCCCAATCGTTATCAACTCCTTCAAGGCCATCTCCATAGTCACCATCATCAAAGTACCGTTCATGCCATTGAAGCGGTTCTTGATTCTGACTTTGGAATCCTTGACGAACAAGAAGCTCTCGTCCTGTTCTGAGTTCTTGTTGATAACGCTGATTAGCGGCCTCTTCAACTTCTATCCAAGCTTCCAATTGGCGTCTATAGTTCTGCCATTGAACGAATCTCGTGGCTTGATATGGCTGATTGTTATTGACAACCAAAGTGATATTGCCAATACTTGTGCCATCAGCAACGTGTAAAGGCGGTCCATTGGTCCTTAGTCCAATTACTGCAGGTCCGTAATTCTCAAATTGAGAGTTTCGGGGATCACTTGGAGATGTAACCCAAGGGTCAACCTCAGGTTGTTCATCTACCGGACTAAGTCTTTCCGGTTGATCCGGTGGAGCAGTGGTTGGACGAGAAGGTACTTCAATGTAATCCTCTTCTAAGGATTGTATGCCATAAAAAGATTCGGGAGAACTTGGAGGTGTGTGGACAATTTGGTCCTGCCATTGTCGTACTCTAGGTGGTGTAGTTGCGGGGCGATTTATGTATTCATGGGTAGTAGGGATTGGAGATTTGGAACGATTAAGTGACTCGGCTAATTCCATGAAATCTCCAGGGTATGTTCTTGGTCGTTCATTGAAGCGACCACCCTCAAGTTCTCTTCGAGGAATATCAGCTTGAGTCATGGGAACAGACATTCTAATGTTGTTCATCCATTTATACAAGTGCGTGTGCCAGTTATGAACATCTGGAAGACTAAGGTGAGGGATAAAGCGAACCCAGCGCCTATTAAACCCTGGTTGTCTCCATTGAGATGTTCTAAATTGACTCGCTCTTATGTCTGTTGTTCCAAATAACCATTTCCCTTCAAGACCAAGCTTGACTAACGAATGCCAGAAGATAGGATTCATCACTTGTATAGGAAGTGTGAAGTTCTTCTTATTAACTCGGAAAGCTTCATCCACCGAAGTTGAACGAGGGTTTTTCACTCGTTGAACAAAATCTTCAACGGTGCTGATCCAATTTTTGTTATTGATTTCAGCTATAACCGTTGATAGGTGTTGAAGGTTCCAGGTTTGGTATTCGTAATGAAGCGTGAACTTGGTGTCTTCTACTGTTTCCACATGTAATATCCTTTGTTGTATGCGCAATTCATGAAGAGCTTGACGAGGTGTCATATTATGCACTGCATCTCTTCTAATAGCATACATAACGACATATTCTCTGGTCCTAATCAGAATCCAGATCCAAAGGTTGTGGTCTGGTATACTGCGTATTAATTTGTAACGCATTCTGATCATGGATTCCTTTAATGTCATGTCGTTAGTCGTCTGATCTCCGAAGTCTCGGAACTCTTCGACGACAGGAATTGGGAGTCTAATCCCATTTATTATATGTGGTCTATTATTCCTAAGGTTAACTCGTCGCATCATGTTGTCATGTTGTTCTTTGTATTCTTGTAAGAATCGCCATTCAACTTTTCTATTGATGAGAGGTGGCTCTTTTATGTCATCTCCATCTTGAGAATAGTTTTCTGGTCTGAACAAGTGAACAAGATCGGCGTGGTTCCTAGGAAACATAGAACTTGCCCATGGTCCATAATCGTCAGGAGGTGTAGAAACAGTTACACGTATGTCTTGTTGTGTGGGTGATGCTACTTCGAGATTCTCACCTTGGTCAACTTCGTCCGCAGGCGAAGTATGATTAGGTGTCACCTCTCGTTGTGGCATTGTGAAGATAATTTCTTCATTACTATGCGCGCCATAAGAGTATGCAGAACATGTATGACTATCATTTGATGAATTATCAGATGAAGAGTCACTATCAGGTTCCGTCGGAGTATCAGAGATGTACACCAAAGATGGTATCTCATCTCCATCGCTGTCTATGTTTGAATTGGAAATAGTAGCCGAAGCAATAGCTTCTTCTACTTGTCGAACCTGTTCATCTAGTTGAACAGTTCGTCTATTGTTCCATTCTTGAACAGAGATGTGTCGTGCTGGACGATCTTCTCTGTCAGCAGCGATTCTCTCTTCTAGGCGTGCTTGTTGAAGATCATACGTGTTTTGGAATGGATTTGGTGCAGATGTGCTACCAGTGGGGTAGTGGTAGGACATATGAACGTTAACTGGCCCAGCCATTTCCCGTTCAAAAACTGAGCTGATTTGCTCGTTTACTGCATTAATTCGTTTCTGGTATTCAGAAGGTTTCTCAGAAGGTTCAAATACCGCAGTGTGCGATTGTTGCCCCCCTTTTTGAGTATCCTTCTTCTTTCCTTTGCCTTTTCCTTTGCCCTTTCCTCCTTTCTTCTTTCCTTTCTTGGAAGAAGATCCACCTTGGTTCTGATTGTTCTGGTTCTGGTTATTGTTTTTATTATTGTTCTTCTTTTGATTTGCAGAAGTACCAGAACGAGACTGATCAGACCATTTAGGAGGAGCGTTAAATCTATTAACACCAGAAATTTTGGCGTTATGGGCAGTATAGGCAGCAGGACCAGAATGAATCCCATTCCTTCTATTCCATTCATTCGTAATTGCAGCAATCAAATCGGTAGGTTTAAGTTCTTCCTTCTTCATACGGGATACTTGCTGCTTGAAAAGCTGCCAGCGCTTTTCATTAAGCTTAGCTGTGATCATAAGGCACAGCAAGTCGTCCGAAATATCTACTCCATGATCCTTAAGTTGGTCCCGAACAGTCAGCATGTAACTGATTCCAGGGACTGGATTAAGGTGTTCAGGAAGTTGGACGTTATGCAAGTCCGTATATAGATTCATCATCTTCGAAGAAGATTGAACTCCAAACGTAGATTTGAGTTTAGATAAGGTTGAAATTACCGAAGTTTTATCAACATGCGCGTCGTGAGCACGACGAGTTCGCATTTTGATAATACCAATTACTTTGTTACGCCTAGAAGTCCACTCAATTAGAGCGGTAGCTTCCCCTGAAGTAGCAGGAGAGGATGTTTCTGGCATTTCTTCATCCAAGGCTTGAGGTATGCCTTGGGTAAAGAGGTAACCCTCAAGTAATCGGTACCAATCTTCGAAATTCAAACCATCATCTAGCAAAACTGGAATGATACTAATTCCTCCTGACCCAGCAGGAAAGCTGCTGTCCGCAACCTGAGAGTACAATGGTTCCGTACTGTAGTTATAAACTTCTACAGAATTTTCTACTTCCGTTCCCAGAGTATATCCCGGCGTATTGCGAACAAACGTCGTTGGAGGATTACCACTTGGGGAATGAGAAGCAGACCTTGATCCTGATTGAGACATATTGAGGTCTGCCAAAAGTCCCGTGAGCATACTCTTCAAATATAGAAGGGTGGAGCCAAGAGAGTGTCAATCGACGAAGGCTTCTAAGAAGCACCCATAAATAAATAGGGTTCGATGCACACCGAGAAATGCTCCAAAGGTCTAGGACTTTTAACAGGCTGTATGCGTCAAACAGATCATGGGGTGTACCGCGTGCAGGTAGTGCAGGGGAGTTAATCTGGTTACGAAGCCCTGCCCAATTGCTAGGGTCTTACAACGTTCCCAGTGTGTATCGGTGTCTGGTGTCCCATCGTGCTATCTGGTCTCAACCCCAGACTAGCGAAAGTATGAGTGATCAGCCCATACTAACCGAATGACCCATAGAAAGTTATTATTAAACCTAGTCTTCCATATGAATTGAGTTCATGCACCCTCTGCCTTAGGCATGTCGGTGACCAGAAAGCAATCATAGGTGAGCTAGAGTTTAACAATAACGTGGAAGAGAGGGGTCATCGGGAGGGGAGTCCCTGTACATACTAAAGTGGCCATGTGATACCGTAAAAACTGTATAGTATCAAAACCTAGTTGTAAGGAGATCAAATCTCCCAGCATGTATGTCATGCCCGGTCTTTCGACCGTCAGGAATCATGGCGAGTTGGTTTATAAGCACAACCCCATAGACCCCTAAACGATGCCTCATGGTGAGGATCATCGCCAACCATTGGTTTTCATCGGCATTAGGCAGTGATAATTTAAGATCAAAGCCCAATCCGGGTTATCAGCAGGGAGACAGAGCCGCATGTGCGGATAGGTCTGTGCCGAAGAAGATGAAGCCAAGACAGTATGTACATGCGTTCGTGCAACATGCAACAGTACAGGGACATAGTGGATAGGTGTAAAGGGAACTAACAACCCTTTGACCTTGACACCAGACGATGACAAGCCCGACATCGCTAGAGACTTCCATAACCCATGTAGGTTACAGGTCGTCCGCTAGGATGGTGGCGACACACGGGAGCTAGGCTACTCCGATCATAACATCGACCTGACCACCGCTTGCGGGGCCCATAACCTGATGAGCCAGCATAGTTAAAGTGCACAGTGGGTATAACGAAGTAAACCTCACATGGGTAATACACAGAGTGTTCTTGTAGTCTTTGAGATGCTTGAGAAGAGGTGATAATCGAGTAGATTGTCCTAAGGCTTAAGGCCTTTCATCCAGTCTTTTATACATAAGTTTCTGGTACATGTAATAAGTATTACACTAACTGAAACTACTACTAGAAGTAGGTATTCGGCCCTAAAGGCGTAAAAGACATTAGTACTGTGTAAGTACTTCTACCATGAATGGTAGTATGCTTGGTGAGCATAGTCATGTTTGCCTCATGTATTGGAGGCTCTACTTATGCTATTGGATAGCGACTGTCTATAGTGTCATTTATGATGAAACTACTAGGTACGTAGTGAGATACGTAGACAGAGACGTAGTACTTGCATGAGGACGCAAGTGTTCTAGAGGCGTAGCTCTATAAATAGTGTGACGCGTAAACAACACGTCAACAGTGTATCACATGATATTCATCATGTTCAACACTTCTGTTGGCCTGACTTATCCTATGCACATCATTCAGTGTATGAAGTATCAACGGGGTAGTGGTAACCTGGGTCGTTGCCATCTGCATAGACACCATATGTGGCTCGACCCGCCGGGGGTTCGATTCCCTCTTGATGCATTTGGCAAAGTACAATCGCTATATTTTATTTCATTTTCTCTTCTCCAAAAGCCTTTCCCCCTTCAGTGCGAAAGTGTTTCGAGTATCGAACTAAGGCGCGGTCAATCTGGTGACCTGGGATACAAAGTATGCGAGCTAATTTTTTTACTTAAAGTTGCTATGGATTTTGCTTACAGTAGCCCAGTCCCGATTGTCTAGTGCGTGCCCCGTTGGTAAAAAAAATAATCTTAGGTCGTTACAGTATTCATGTTCTTGTAAGTTGTACGGTCAAGGTGAACTCGTTCGGTAGGGTGTTGGGGGGGAGCATTTGTTGTTGAGTAGATCATCGGCGTGTATATAGGGACAACCTTATATTTATGGACATAATTAGATACTACCAACATAATCAAACATGATCATGCTATGGTTTGAGCGCCATTCTCTATTGAAATTCCAGACAAAACGGGAAAGACGAGTGGTGAATCTGCGATCTCATGTCACAGGCAATTTATTCAGCCACAAGTCATCTGGAGTCTCGTGTTCACACTTTGTAGTCCTACTCGGAGTCAGATCTGACACCTCCGGCGTTGGCTTACTGTACTGAGGTTGGTTCGAAGGTCGACATTGCAAAGTGCATTGTTCCGACGGTTGCTTCACCGGTACGAACACCGCCTTGCATACTCCTGTCCTCCTCTTCTCGCAGATCGAAGAGCATTCGGTTTCCGCATATAGAGAGGACCACCAGCGTTACTGGGGCCAATATCCCGGACAACGAGGGCTGTCAGGTATCAGAAAGCCAATTTCAGATGACTAAGCTCTCAACAAAAACATACTCACATCCGGATTGGCAAAGAGAACCGCATTCGCAATGTACAAAACGAATACACTTGCGAGTGATGAGTTAGCGGGTCGGAACTGTGGACTATAGCTTGAGTAGAATATACGCACATGATCAGATATAAGGTCATGTTACGAAGGAGAAGGAATACTAGGGACGGCGACAGAGTGCCGTTATTGAAATAAGCATGGCACTTCCTTAGCACAAGGAGCAAAGTGGTGCTCTCGTAGGCCAAGATGGGAATCCTGGCCGGACGTGTCAGAAAGTTATGACACAAGAAACACTCACCAAAAAAGCCACAGGAAAGAGTACCATGTGACTACCACGCAACGTTGTACCCCCGGAACAGGATCAGCGGTCCCTAATATGTCGCGTGAATTATCATCCAGCAGAGATGGCTAGGAGCATGTACCTCTAGTTCGGCTACCAACCACCCCAATAACCGCAGTAGAACATGCGATACACACGACGAGCAGAGCACCCAATCGTCCCTTGATATTTTTGGAGTACCCATACAATGCGCAAACACAAAGCCACATGATGATGTCGCTGATCATCTGCTGTACGAGGCCTCCGAGAGCACCTGTCAACCCACAGAAGCTGCTGTGAGCTGGGGTTTTGGGACTCACTGGTACCGACAGGCCAGTACGCGAAGGCGAAAACGCCTAGTACTTTCAATGAGGGTCAGATCGCACACAATTAGCTCTGGTTCTTACAGCTGTCCCCAAGGTAGACAAAGAAGTCAGAACAATGTAATGCATCAGAAATATTGAGGGAGACCGACTCACAACTGTGTGGTTGCAATACCCCCCAGAATCCTGCGGTCAGATACCGAATATCGCATATCTCAAGAGCACCTACATTATAATTCACATTGCTTCCTACGTGTGCTATCATGATGGTAGTTTCATTAGATGTGAGACGTGCAATAGATGCCTCCGAGTGTTACAGTTACGAAAGGGGTATATCATTTCCTTCATCTATGATATCTTATCTATGACTTTGATATGTTTATTTATCTAATCACAGTGCTATTTATCAGACCACAGTATTGGCAGTAGTTCGTAGTATGTACGCAGTCCAGATTGCAGTATTTACAACAGTTCGCAGTATGTACGCAGTTCCAGTTTTAGTATTTATACTTGTACAGTAGTAGGTCTTGCTCTTCAGCTTGACCTTACAACTCAATCTCACATTCACGACACCAGAACCAAGACAGGTCGATAACTCAGTATTGAGCTTACGTTGTGAACATAACACCGAGGGCACCAACTGTGTTCACCACTTGTGTGACTATGAGTTGCGTCAAATTGGTAGGGGCTTCTTGCGATCCCTGACGGGTGGCTCACCTTCGATATATCCGTGCCACAAGTTATGCTTCAACAAAGTTGTTGTCGGAACGGCTGCTTCCATACTTGTTGAGGATGGCGTGCAAGAAATCAAGAATCTGGGAGAGAGATTGAAGTTTGGGGGGGGGGGGGGCAAATTTATGCTAATCATTCTAGGTTTGGCTTTGACTTGGCTTTGGGCTTGGTTTTAACCAAGACCTCCCGAAATCTGATGATTCTTTGCGCTGCTCATTGAGCCAGTGTTCAGATTGCAGTGTATCACCTACAGTAACTTGTGATTCTACCCTCCTTTTTCTTCTTCGGAACCTTGACTGTCATATCATGATGTAGGCAAACTGGTAGGTGCTGGCTAGCCTTGCGTCAGTTTGGTCTTCGGGAGGATTCTTACCCGTAACTTACTGGGAGGGTCTGGAGGGCCCTGGTCAGTTACTGGTAACTTATCGGTAACTTTGGCCAGCCTGGGACTCTGGGTACACCAGAAATTTTCTTTGCGCTTTGCGCATTCACCCAAGCTACAGCTTTCTCAGGCATTCGTCAGCTACATATATAGGCACCAGCAAAACCATGGGAACCTGCTCAGTGGCTGGTAAGGGCTGTCAGCCAGGACGAGGTACTGTTAGGCAGCCAGTACCTGGTCTGAAGTGTTGTTTTGCACAAGGGGGCTTCACGTAATGGCAGACTTACCGTAGCTTGTAATCATTGTAAGTATGGTACCACCTGATAGAGAGATTTCAGTATAACAGTGGCTGATCAGTGGCTGAAAAGACACACCAGAGTGACCGTGATGCTCAGACGCGGTCAGAATGACTGGTATGTCCAGAAGTCATCAGAATGAACAACCTGTTAAGAAACCACCAGAATCACCGACAAATTCAGGTATGGTCAGAATGACTGCCATGACCAGGAGCCGTCAGGATTACTGGCATGGCCAGAAGCTACCAAGATGACCGATGTGGTCAGAAGGCTTGAGAACAACTTGTTGAACATGTGGTTACCATGTGATACACTTTATTGACGTGTTGTTTACGCATCTATCATTTATAGACTCTTTCACTATGACACTTGCACTCGTATGAAAGATCCTGTACTTACTCAGACAGACTCTGTAGTTATTCAGTACTCACACCTTATCTCTATGGTTTATAACAAGGTTCAGCTTTGCACCCAATAGCATTCAAAGCTGACTGAGCTTTCTCTCTAGATTACTTAGATAGAAAGCTAGTATGACTATGTCTACTTACTCACTCTGCTCTTTGAGCACTTATGCTTACTGATATGCAATATGTACCATATGCTATATTCTCACTTGCCTATGTTCTATGACTTGTAGATAGACAAGGACTCTTGTACAAAAGCTGGAGACTTTGCGTCTCAAAGCTTTAGGACAATCTACTTGATTATCACCTCTAGCAAGCATCTGCAAGAACACAAGAATTCTCTTATAGTCAATATGTGAGGTTTTAGTTTCATCTCACTGTGCATTTAACTATGCTGGCTCAATACAACTGGCATGGTGAGGGGACCTCAGTATAGCCATTCTTGTCAGCTGGTGCAATCCTAGTGACTATGACGAGGCAAAGTCAGTCTATGTAACGGGCCTCTTTTCTATGCTAAGGCAGGAAGTGAAAGGGGGAAGTTGAACACAGAAGAATATGGCCTTAGCCCAAACTCAGCAGATCCTCTGACTGGTTCAAATGTATGGACACATCCTACAACACAACACAGACACCTGAGATTGCCGATCAAAGGTGTTTTGCCAGGTTGAACCTGACCAGGAGCAATGCAGATATTTCAGGGGGTTTGTCCTTTGGGGTACACAGACAGTCACAACCAATATAGGGCTTTAACCAAAGACCTAGAACAATGAAAGAGAGGTTAGAGACAAGACTTTGAATGTGAAACACACCAGATCAAAAGCTTGAAGCTGTAGACTTGAGATTTTCAATAGACAGAAAATCCAGTACATGGTTTGTAGCTACCTAGCTTATATACCAGTGAGAATTGTGGTCATGATTCAAACTGGAGTCATACTGTTTCATATGGCTCATAAATGACGTACGTAGTCCAAGAGAAATAGTGAAATACAAGGGAAATGATTGGAGGATCAAACATAGACAATGTGGTTTGGGAGTGCAGCATGGCCGGGATGAACGAAGATAGGACAAAGGCAGAACTACTACTCAAAGGGGCATGGAAAGAGTACTATGGTCAGGAATATGTAGATGCTGGATAGTTGGGCCGAGCTGGGACAAGGTCTGGGGATGAAGGAAATGAAGAGGAAGTGCTTTGATTGACGAAATGGGCCATTAGATGCTGGGTATGGGTGGTAGTGCCTTGGGTGCTTGATGCTCTGGATGCGGATATCCTGGGTAGGGCTTATGCATGGGGTTATTATATGTTGTGAGGGGGTTGTAGCTTGTCAATAGAGTGTTCATTGAGTGAAAATGAACGAACCCTTACAGTCTACTACAAATGGTCAGTGCACAAAATACTAAGGAACATAATCATACATACCAAACATTACGGCCCACAACAAGCAACAGCTAGGCTCTCAGATTCTTATGGTGATCAGGCTGGCTCTACAGTGTTGGTAGGTGATACACATCATGACATTGAGAGGACTGCAACATGCAATACAGTACAGGCAGCAAAGAGCACAGACAAGCAAATGACAACAAACATGATAGCAAGCAAAAGAAAGTTGAGACTGCAACTCCTAAACAACAACAATGAGAGCAAGGGAAAAGAGAACAAGGGTGGGAGCATATGAAGATACAAGCAGGAAAGCGAGGAATGATGACAAGAGCAAGTAGAAAGGGAATGAAAGCAGCCTA